CCAGTACCGCACATTCCACCACTTTCTCGCGCGGCTCGCGTGGCGGGGCGTGGCGGGGTGTGGCGTGGCGGGTATGGGGTGTCACACGACGCGAGACAGGTGACTCGACCGCTCGCCGCCGATGAGTCCCTCGGTGCGCTTGCGGAGGAATATGCTGCCCAATATAATCGAGATATCGAATAGCGTCGCCGTGGAACCTCACACATCACACCCCGCCCTTTCCCTCCCTCACCCCCAGCTCCCGCCGAGTGCCAAACTCCTGGCGTCACACCTGTCACGGCGTTACGTCACGTGCGACCGTCACGCTGCATGGTCACCGCGTTGTGCAAGGGGGGGGCATTCCACACACTCTCCGCCCCGGGCGCCAAAGGGGCGCCCAGGGAGGGGGCGTGCATCAATGCGGAGAATTTGGCGAACGAGAGGTGTGGCCTCGTTTTATTTGTGGCAGAGTAAGGGCGCGCGGCACACCTGGTGGCGGCCCACCTGCCCGACGGTAACGGTCTGGCGGGAAGGGTTGAGAGAGCGAGAGAGAAGGGCATAGAATCCCTTTCTGCGGGGCAAGGGAAAGGGAGGCGAGGGGTCAGCAGCGCGAAGGGTCAGCGGCGCGGAAGGGTCATCCTTTTGACGGCCGGACAATGCCGCGCTGTCCGCTGTCCGAGCGTCGCGCGGCCGGCGGCGCGTCGCGTCGCGGACTGACCAGCGGAGGTGGAGGGAGGAGGAGGAGAGGGTGCGGCCGGCGCGGCTACCTGATCCTGGGAACGTCCAGCTCAGCGCTGTCCACTATGGGAATGTCCAGCCAGACGCGCTGACCAGCCTGATCCTCTCCACCCCTTTCGTGCACCACTTTCTCACGGGGTGCTGTAGCTGTTGCCAAGGGGCCGCGACCGAAGCGTTACGGGGGAAGCGACATGCTTGTTGCCGGGTCGAGGAGGTCCGGCCGCAGGGTCCAGCAGTGGTCAAGACAAAGAGCGGACTATTCTGGAAAAACGCACCCTTAAAACATTAAGTTTATAGCCACGAAATGCATTGCCGCTGCTCTTTCATTCAACTAATATAAAAAGTCGGGATATTTTTTAAAAGTCGTCAGGATTTACACGTGACCATACTGTGATCCCACGTGCTGAATTTGCACACCTTAGAAATTCCTCCCGATCTGAACGTGATAAAAACTGCACAACTGCAACAAGCGCCGTTCTTCCAAATTTTTTATATGGCGCGACACGACATTTTCAGGCCCTAAATTTAAGCTGAGAAGTTCAAGCCGTGCAATTAATTCGCATTCAATGAATGAAAATTGGCAGGCTTTAAGGGCCCGCTTTTAGACAGAAGCTAAGATGGAACGCGCTTGACATGTTGAACACCTGGGTGTGATGAAACAGTAACTTTGTAAAAGTATGTAATATTTTCCCAAGATTTTTAGCGAAATTTGCAGAACTGTGTAGGCTTGCGCGCGGGGCGTTGCGCGCGAGGCCCCCGCGGCCTGGCTGGTCAGGCGGGGCGCTCCGCGCGCGACCCCCCTCCGCCACCGCCTCCGCCGCACTGGCCGGCAGAGCCAGCGGCAGAGCCAGCGGCAGAGCCAGAGCCCATCCATTGATAGACTCTGTGTTGCAGGAGCGCGTCCACCGCCGGAGGGCCCGGAGGGGGGGTCCTGCAGCTCAAGGCAGCCAATGGGGCCTCCGGGGCGGGGCTGGGCGGGGCGACGCTGGACGGCGACCTGCACGGCCTCTTCCTGCAGCCGCACCACCAGCAACAACAGTTGCTCGTCAAGCGGGAGCCCGAGGACCTGAGTCACCGCAAGCAACAGTCGTCGCCAGGACTGGCAGGTGAGTGGGGGACGTGTGGCCAGGCCACGGGCAGGCCCGCGGGGAGGGAAGGCGACGCCCGCGGCGGCCAGGGGAGGGGGGTGGGGGACGCGGCGCTGCGCTACGCTCTGCGCGCGGTGGTGGGGAGCGGCGCGCCTCGCCTCCGCTGCCACTATCAGTACCGGCCGGGACGGCGGGCGAGCAGCACACGGACGCCCTGAGCACGCCGCGCTTGCAGGCGCACTAAGCCAGCCGCACCGCGAACCAGTGCCGCGTTAGCCGCGCCGCGTCCGACGCACCCTCAAGACTGCTTTGGATTACAGTGCCAGTGATAGTGTGATGAGTGATTAGTGGTGACGTGCGTGTGTGTGTGTGTGTGGCGCAGGCGGCCGCAGCAGCAGCAACGGCAGCAGCAGCAGCGGCAGCGCGAAGCTGGTGCTCGCCAACGGAGGTGCCGGCGCCGAGCACGGCGACGGGTTGGACGTGATCAAGGACGAGTACAAGGCCATGGCGTACTCGACGCAGATGTTCGGCGGCCAGCCCGCGCCCCAGGGCCACCACGGCAGCGGCACGCCCTCACCGGGGCCCTACAACGACATGCAGTACGCGGCCGCGCCACCGCCCGGCCCGCAGCAGCCCGTCTACATGAGCCCCGTCCCCAACCTCAGGACGTCCGCGCCGCCGCCCACCTCGTCCAGCTTCGCGACGGTACCCGAGCGGTACTACTCGGACTACTTCCCCCCAGTGCCCGACCAGGGCTACGCGACGTTGCGGCAGCAGATACCCACCTACATGGACCCCGCCGGGGAGGCGGCGGGCGGCCCCACGGTCTCCACCTCGGACTTGGTGCGGTCGTACGTGCGGACGAGCGCCTACAACCACAACAAGGGCGTGATCGCGGCCGCCACGGCGGCGGGCCTCACCGTCGACCTGCCGTCTCCGGACAGCGGCATCGGCGCGGAGGCCATCACCCCGAGGGACCAGACCGCCATACAACAGGTGGGTACCGGGTGCGGGGAGGTGGTGCCGGGAACTTGAACGCGGGAGGAGCCGAGCGCGCCGGAGCCGGCTCCCAGGCTCTCACGGTGAGCTTGAGGGGATGACACTGTCGAGCGCAGACAATAGTGTCACCGTATTTGGTTTTACTTCTTTAGCCGTGTCACTTAGGTCAGTGTTAGTGTTCACATGTGAGCTAGTGGTATCCTCGAGATGACTGTCGTGGAGAACTTAAACTTTTACAGGTCATTTTAATCTCAGGGACTTCTTGAGCCTATGCTTTCGAAAATTATACTGTCCTCGTACTTTAGTGTTGTACAGCTGTCATTTTTCCTACTGCTTGTGTTCTCCTCTCTCTTTTTCTTCCCCCACTCTTCCTCCGTCTCTTTCTTTCTCTGTCTCTCTTTCTATCTCTGTCTCTCTCTCTCGGCTTTACCCTTCTGTAATGGCAGCGTATCGCGTTTCGCTTACAACGGAAGACACCATGCATTGCCCGCCACGCACATGCATGCATACATACAGCACACACACACACACACATACACATACACTCACACACTCACTCACACGAACACTCGCTCACACACACTCACTCACATATATCGAGGCTTTGAATACTTACTGCTGCGGCGACCCCCTGCCGAGCGGATGAGTCTTCGTGGTGAGGCGCAGGTTTAGGTTTAGGTTGCAGGCGTCTGATGGGGTTGTGCCTGAGCACCCAAGCGCTCCCAGATGGGACCATTGACATTTCCACCCGTGATTTCTCTTTTCCTTTGCCCTATCTCTCTTTCTCTCTTCTTCTCTCCCCCCCCCC